GAACACACTTGTCAGTTGCCATTACTTAGAGAATCCCAGTGTCAGAGAACCATTGATGCGAACCCTGGCATCCGTTGTGGGATACAGAGCCATGATTTTGTGCTATAGGGAAAAGCCCACAACTATTTGGAGGAGCTTTTGTCTGAGAAAAGGCCAGCTAACACGATCAAATTCCTTCTCCGCATCTACAGAGAGAAGGCAAGGCGGGATGTTGGAGAGTTAATGGTTTGTAAGTAACAGAGTTTTGAGAGGTACTGTCGCTTGCCTCCGCACCTGAATAAACACCACCTGGTTTGTATGTATAAGTGTGGGTACAAAATCGTGCACTTGGGAGGCAGTCATTTTGACATATAATGTCAGGTCCATGCCAATAAGCAAAATGGAATGATAGCTTGAACTTTAATGATGGGACCCTTGCCTGCTTTTGGAATAAGGAATAGATTGGCAAAAAAAAAGAGTTTTCAGGAAGATAGTTAAAAACTTTCAGCATAAACAGGGTGAAGTGTTCCTTACTGTATATGTTTTGCAGAATTTAGGGGTGAAGCCATCTGGGCCTGGACTTTGCTGGAGGGGATAGAGGCCATGGCATACAAGTTTTTCCATAGTGAATGCAAAATCAAGTGAGTCTCTAGTAGGGATGTATAAGGTAGGGAGCGCTGTGTCAACAACATAATCACAGAGGTGGTGGGTATAAATGTCAGAGCTCTTGAAAGGAGAGGGTAAGTTATAGAGAGAGCAGAAGAAATTCTGAAAAGTTTCAAGGAGCAACAGTGGTGAAGAGGTAAGGTCACCTCCATGAGTCCTGATGCTGGGGATGTAGGTTTGCGGGGTATGTGGGTGTACTGTAGGAATCGAGCCAAGTAGAGAAAAATATCACCCATCATTTCAGGTGAAGGAGCTGATTTGTGTTGGATTTCCAAGGAATGGAGTTTATGGATAGTATCCTGTATGGATTGTGAGCGCTCCTTTTTGAAGTTGGTCACCATGTTGAATAAAGACCTCCGTAGGATGGCTTTTAAGTCTTCCCACTGTATAGGTAAAGAGATCTCATCATTTTGATTATCGAGTAAATATTACGGGTTGTATCTGCTACTGCTCGATTACAGGTCGAGTCCGCTAGTAAAGTATCATTTAGGTGCTATTCATTTAGGTCTATTCAGATCGCAGGGCTTGAGGGACCTCCATGATAAAGAATATCCACTTTAGCTGCTTATCTTTTTCTTTTTTTTTTTGCTGTTAAATTACTTAGAACCTTAAAACATTATATATTTTTTAAACCAGAGGCCCTAGAAAATAAAACATGGGCTTTGCAATTATTTTATGTCGCACAGTATTTGAGCAGTGGTTTTTCAGACGCAATATTTAGGGGAAAAAATGCACGTAAACCCTATATAATACCCATTGTTGGTAAAATATAAAAGATGGTGTTATGCTGAGTAGATGGATACGCAACATATCATGTTTTCATATTGCGTATGCTCGTGGAATGGCGCCAAACTATGGTATTTAAAAATCTCCAAAGTGAATGCTTTAACAGCCTTTACAGTTTACCAGTTTAGAGAAACACAGGTCTGGTGCTAGAATTATTGCTTTCGCTCTGACGTTCTCGGCGATACCTCACAATTGTGATGTGATCACTGTTTGCGTGTGGGACCAACGTATGTGTTTGCCTTTGCGCATGAGCACGGGTAGACGGGCACTTAAAAAAAATTGAACACATTTTTTTTAAACTCTATCTCTTTACATTTTTTTTTATCACTGTAAACAAGTAGTTACAGGTACTCTTTATGGAGAGATGCCCCTGTAAAAGAAATCTAGTGGCTAGGATTGCTTTTACAAAAATAGAAAATTGCCCACAGTAAAAAAAACTCTACCGGGGTGATGCCTGCAGGCATCATCCCAGTATACCGCTTGAAACTGCCGATTTACATGTATGTTAGACGGTCTTCAAGGGGCTATAGGGGAATGGTCAGATTCCATTCCAGAACAAGGTGGTTGGAGAAAAAAATAGTCAAAAATGAACCTATTTTTCTTTGGCCCACCACTCTTATAGTTAATAAGAGTGGTGGGCCAAAGAAAAATAGGTTCATTTTTTTTTTTATTCTTCTGGTACAGTGTCTGCCAAAAGATCAATTAGTTGATAGAAATGGAGTTGTCTTTTAAGCAAATGTAATTAGCTGTATGGCACTTGTTTGCGCTGAGGGGAAGAATCAAGGTGAGGTTCTAGAATTAAATTAATGTTGCCCTTCTGTACCTTCTGAAAAATCTGTGAGAAGGTGGAGGCATTGAGTAATATCCAAGACCTGGTTTTGATTCAGTATGTACAAATTGGCCATTGTGAGAGTGAACTTGAGAAATACAGTAATGACCATCAGGGTCAGTGACATGGTCTGCAGGGTGAATAGGGAGATGTCCAATGGAGAGTCGCTTTGTCTTAATAGATGGAAAAGTACCATGGAACTATCTCTTATAGTATCAATGGTTACAAAGAGGAGTATGGTCCAAACAAAAGTGGGTCACTTGGAAGATAACAAGGTCAACCTTGGATTTATGCAAGGAATACAGGATTTGGCCCCGCTTAGATTGGTTGTTGAGCCCATTGGCATTGAAGGAAGAAATCTTGAATGGTGTTGGCTTGGATTCCCTGGTGTCATGGCTGGTGGGAGAAAAAAAAAGAGAGAATGGAGGGGGAGAAGGGGAGTGGGGAAAAAGGGGGAGTAGAAGGAGCAAAGAAAAAGGGTAAAAAGACTCAGAAAAGAGTTACGCTCATGAGACTGGGAGCTGCTGTCAGGAATGGACTTGCCAGTAATGGTGGGACTCACCTGCCTTGTGGGCTGCAGTACCAGGGCTGGCCAGCGGGTGCACCCAGCAATCAGACTCAACCCTGCAGCCAGCCAAACACCTGAAGTTGATTATACAGGTGTATTTAAGGGATGGCCAGACCTGCAGTCTCGGCCTTGGTGTGTGTTTTTCCTGGGCCCTGTATCTTGTTCCTGCATCCCTGTTCCTGTCCCTGTCTCTGTCTGATTCGTTGCTGATCCTGCCTGATCTGGACCTCTGCTCACTTCTCCTGTTTCATCCCTGGCTTGTGACCCCGACCATTCTCTGCCTGACCCCCTGTACCTACCTGCCCGATTGTTATTGACACCGGCCTGCCTGACGACGCTTGTATTGTATGTACTGTTATCTGTGGGTGGTTTGGTTTTCGTTCGCTTGCACTGTGTTATGTTTTAGTATTGCACTGCGTTTTGTTTGTATTGTTAGTCTTTAATAAATTATATTGTTTATAACTTATCTGAAGCCTGCATTTCCCTGCGTCAGTCACATACCTCTGGTCATACCCCGGAGCCCTGACATTACACCAAGGCCAATCCTGACCAGAAGTGGCTGCACAGGGAAGCCATCTTGGCTTGTTGCTGGGAAGGATGGATCTTGATGAGGTTGTGTATTTATCTCTGCTAGTGTTTGATGACAGAGAGTATGCTTATCAAACTCTGAAGGAGTATCCCAGGGATGAACTGCTAGAATGTATACGGATCGCTCATTGCCTAGTAGATCAGGGCACAGAGTTCTCTGAGGTGCAGCCATTGATTCAGGTTTGTGCTGAGTTGGTTTCATCTGGTACCCCCAAATGCAGGGATGAATTTTTGCCGCCACTTAGTGCCGACCAGGTAGAGTCCCTGGTATGGTTATTAGAGGATGATGTGGATTACTTTCTGGAGCGTTATTCTGCATGTTCACCACAGGTACTAAGAGATTGTATAAACGCAGTGCAGTCATTGACCAGACAGGCTTTGTGTAAACTGAGCTTTGTTCAACCCATACTGCAGACATGGTCAGACTTGTTGCACCCAGCCTCAGTCAGCTTACAACGTCATTCCTCCACTCAAGGCACTCTTCCTGCATCTCCGACAGCACCCCCAGTGACTGCCCAGTATACTCTAACTACCACATACCAGTCCTCTGCTCCCACTCGCTGCACCTATCCTTTCTTTAACCCTGTAAAGAAGTCCTCTGTAGCAACTGCTCCCTCCTCCTCTGTTCCATCTTCCAGCTCTTCTCTGTCCTCAGCTGCTCCATTCGTTTGCAGACCTGCGTTTACTTGCAGTTCCCCAGTAGTTAAAACCAGAAAAAAGCGCGGAAATTCTTTCCAACCAATACCATCCTGCCAGTATCCAAACCGGTGAGCCTGCCGTCTGAGAACCTGCCTTCCGTGGTTCAGCCTGGTGCCTCGGCACCCGCACTTCAGCCTGATGCCTGTACCCAGCCTGATGAACTGATCCAGCCTGATGATCCTATCACGCCTGATGACCCAGTGCCCGCTGTGGAGCCAGACGATCCGGTACCTGATGACCCGGTGCCCACTGTCATGCCTGGTGACCCAATGCCCACTGTCGAGCCAGACGAGCCAATGCCTGATGACCCAGTGCCCGCGGTCATACCTGGTGACCCGATGCCCGCTGTCGAGCCAGACGATCCAATGCCTGATGAACCAGTGCCCGCGGTCATGCCTGGTGACCCGATGCCCGCTGTCGAGACAGACGATCCAACGCCAGATGACCCGGTACCCGCTGTCGATCCAGATGATCCGGTACCTGATGACCCGGGTGCCCGCTGTCATGCCAATTGACTCAGAGCCCACTGTCGTGCCTGGTGACTCGGTGCCCACTGCCTTGCCAGATGACGCGGTGCCCGCTGTCGAGCCAAATGACCTGATGCCTGGTGACCCGATGCCCGCTGTCGAGCCAGACGATCCAATGTCTGACCCAGTGCCCGCGGTCATGCCAGTTGACTCGAGCCCACTGTGTCGTGCCTGGTGACTCGGTGCCCCACTGCCTTGCCAGATGACCCGGTGCGGTGCCCGCTGGCGAGCCAAATGTCGACCTGATGCCTGGTGACCCAGTGCCCGCTGTCATACCTGGTGACCCGATGCCTGCTGTCGAGCCAGACAATCCCATGCCTGATGACCCAGTGCCCGCTGTCATGCCTGGTGACCCGATGCCCGCTGTCGGGCCAGACGATCCAATGTCTGACCCAGTGCCCGCGGTCATGCCAGTTGACTCGGTGCCCACTGTTGTGCCTGGTGACTCGGTGCCCACTGCCTTGCCAGATGACGTGCCCGCTGGCGAGCCAAATGACCTGATGCCTGGTGACCCAGTGCCCACTGTCATGCCTGGTGACCCGATGCCCGCTGTCGAGACAGACGATCCAACGCCAGATGACCCGGTGCCCGCTGTCGATCCAGATGATCCGGTACCTGATGACCCGGTGCCCGCTGTCGTGCCAGTTGACTCAGAGCCCACTGTCGTACCTGGTGACTCGGTGCCCACTGCCTTGCCAGATGACGCGGTGCCCACTGTCGAGCCAAATGACCTGATGCCTGGTGACCCGATGCCCGCTGTCGAGACAGACGATCCAATGTCTGACCCAGTGCCAATGGTCATGCCAGTTGACTCGGAACCCACTGTCGTGCCTGGTGACTCGGTGCCCACTGCCCTTGCCAGATGACGCGGTGCCCGCTGGCGAGCTAAATGACCTGATGCCTGGTGACCCGATGCCCGTTGTCGTGCCTGATGACCCGGTGCCCGCCGCTCCGCCTGGGGGCCCGGCGCTCTGCCTGGGGGCCCGATGTCTGTCGCTCCGCCTGGGGGCCCGATGTCTGTCGCTCCGCCTGGGGGCCCGATGCCTGTCGCTCCGCCTGGGGCCCGATGCCTGTCGCTCCGCCTGGGGGCCCGATGCCTGTCGCTCCGCCTGGGGGCCCGATGCCTGTCGCTCCGCCTGGGGGGCCCTGTCGATGCCTGTGGGCCCGCCTGTCGCCCCCGCCTGTGGGCCCGCCGCCCCGCCTGTGGGCCCGATGCCGCCCCGCCCCCGCCTGGGGGGCCCGCCGCCCCGCCTGGGGGCCTGCCGCCCCGCCTGGGGGCCCGGCGCCTGCCGCCCCGCCTGGTGGCCAGGCGCCCGCCGCTCCGCCTGGTGATCCGGTGCCCTGCCCGGTGTGCCGCTGCCCGGAGTCCTGCCCGGTGTGCCGCTGCCCGGAGTCCTGCCCGGTGTGCCAGTCTTTGATATCCCGCCAGTTACCAGACCCAGGCGGTGGAACATTTTGCCCAGCTAGGACTGTTTGGAGCGTCCTGAGGCCGCTCCTTGAAGGGGGGGGTACTGTCAGGAATGGACTTTCCAGTAATGGTGGGACTCACCTGCCTTGTGGGCTGCAGTACCAGGGCTGGCCAGCGGGTGCACCCAGCAATCAGACTCAACCCTGCAGCCAGCCAAACACCTGAAGTTGATTATACAGGTGTATTTAAGGGATGGCCAGACCTGCAGTCTCGGCCTTGGTGTGTGTTTTTCCTGGGCCCTGTATCTTGTTCCTGCATCCCTGTTCCTGTCCCTGTCTCTGTCTGATTCGTTGCTGATCCTGCCTGATCTGGACCTCTGCTGACTTCTCCTGTTTTCATCCCTGGCTTGTGACCCCGACCATTCTCTGCCTGACCCCCTGTACCTACCTGCCCGATTGTTATTGACCCGGCCTGCCTGACGACGCTTGTATTGTATGTACTGTTATCTGTGGGTGGTTTGGTTTGGTTCGTTTGCACTCTGTTATGTTTTAGTATTGCACTGCGTTTGTTTGTATTGTTAGTCTTTAATAAATTATATTGTTTATAACTTATCTGAAGCCTGCGTTTCCCTGCGTCAGTCACATACCTCTGGTCATACCCCGGAGCCCTGACAGCTGCCCACAGTCCATGGAAAAAAAGTGGGAATATAAGAACAGGAAAAACTATCTAAAACTTACAAAATCCCTACCAGAGGGCTGGGTACGCAGAAAGGTAGCCCCACAATATGCACCCAGAGAAATACAGAGTAGTGTGTTAGCTGTCAAACCAAACATAGAGCACAATGTTGGGGGGGCACAAAGGGTATCCCCAAGAAAGGGCCACATGATCACTTCCTTGGGTTCTGCTGTCAAGATCCACTGCAGATCAGTAATAGGCACTGAAACATTAATCTGACCTTAGCTATGAGGCAACAGCTGCCTGTCATTCGTATAATTGCTCCCTAAGGTAAGGCCCTAAAAAGAATGTAAACAAAGCTAACATCCTTACCACATCATTCCAAAGAATAAAGGGGAAAAGGACAATGTTGGAAAATGTATATTGGTGCTAGACCAATGAGGCACAGGACAGCAAAACTATATGGCTCTAAGAGCATTCTAAAACGTGATAATGTAACAGCAAAATGCACCTAGTCACGAATAGAGCACAGGCACTCTATCCTATGGCACAGTTATGTGTTGGGACTTGATGGCTGTCCACTAGGCTTAAAAAAAAAAAATGGTAATAGTGCAACACTATGAGTGAGACTACCCAAAACCACAAACATGCACAATTTTCACCCCAAAAGAAATTGTGTTAAAAGCAGCCCAAAAACCAATAAAAATTATTTAGTTAGTTTTAAAATTAATTAAATATGAACATAATATACTCCCATAAAAAAATGAAGCCCCATTGTGTGGGCATAACACGTAAGGTGGAGTACGTGACATCCTCTCTCACCACCTGGGAGCTGCTGCCTGTGTAATAACTAGTGGGGAGAATTATCCTGATTCCTTCTCTGGCCATGCTGTGATTGTTCTTAAAGCTATATGTCATCTTTTATGGGTAGTATATTATGGTTTCATATTACGTAACATTTTAAAATGAGAGAACTAGAAGTGTGTGTGTGTTTTGTGTCTGCTGAGGAGGAGAGGAGGAAGAGAGTGGTTCTCTCAAACCCAAAAAGGGAGAGATCTGGTGACCTTGGTAGTGAGTCCCTGGAAAAGCTGAAGAAAGGACATACATCTGGCGTTTTTTGATGATCTCTTATAATATGGAGGATTGAGCGTATATACTTGTTTACATTAAGGCACATTATGTAATCATTTGAAGAGTGTCATTGGTATTGACATATGTTCATCAATACAGAGCACTGTGAAGAATTATGGGACTTTATATTGTTTATTAGTTTTTGGAATGCTTTTAAGACCATTTCTTTTGGAAGTTTGAGATTTGGAGTAGTTTTACGCACAGCACTGCTGATCAGTAAGGATTAAAGTCATGGTAACCAAAATAAAAGAACTGAATTATTGGGATGATACCACGGGCAGCACAGCGACTCAATGGTTAGCACTTCCGCCTGGCAGTACTAGGGTCGTTGGTTCGAACCAAGCCACGGAAACCACCTGCCTGGAGTTTGCATGTTCTCCCTGTGCCTGCGTGGGTTTCCTCCCACACTCCAAAGACATGCTGGTAGGTTAATTGGATCCTGTCTAAATTGATCCTAGTATGTGTATGTATGAATGTGAGTTAGGGACCTTAGATTGTACGCCCCTTGAGGGTTGGGGACTGATGTGAATTTACTATATATATATATAATATATATATATATATATATATTATATATATATATATATATTATATATATATATATATATATATTATATATACATATATATACACACACACACAGGTAAACTCGAAAAATTAGAATTTCATGCACAAGTTCATTTATTTCAGTAATGCAATTTAAATGGTAATAATATGAGATAGACTCATTACATGCAAAGCAAGATAGTTCAAGCCGTGATTTGCCATAATTGTGATGATTATGGTTTACAGCTCATGAAAACCCCAAATCCACAATCTCAGAAAATTAGAATATTACATGCAATCAATAAAACAAGGATTGTACATAGAACAGTATCGGACCTCTGAAAAGTATAAGCATGCATATGTACTCAGTACTTGGTTTGGGCCCCTTTTGCAGCAATTACTGCCTCAATGTGACGTGGCATGGAAGCTATCAGCCTGTGGCACTGCTGAGGTGTTATGGAAGACCAGGATGCTTCAATAGCGGCCTTCAGCTCTTCTGCATTGTTCCGTCTCATGTCTCTCATCTTTCTCTTGGTAATGCCCCATAGATTCTCTATGGGGTTCAGGTTAGGCAAGTTTGCTGGCCAATCAAGCACAGTAATCCCACGGTCATTGAACCAGGTTTTGGTGCTTTTGGCAGTGTGGGCACGTGCCACGTCCTGCTGGAAAATGAAGTCAGCATCCCTATAAAGCTCGTCTGTGGAAGGAAGCATGAAGTGCTCCAAAATCTCCTGGTAGACAGTGGACCAACACTAGCAGATGACATGGCTCCCCAAATCAACACAGACTGTGGAAACTTCACACTGGACTTCAAGCATCTTGCAGTGTGTGCCTCTCCATTCTTCCTCCATACTCTGGGGCCTTGATTTCCAAATGAGATGCAAAATTTGCTCTCATCAGAAAAGAGGACTTTGGACCACTGAGCAACAGACCAGGTCTGTTTTTCTTTAGCCCAGGTAAGATGCTTCTGATGTTTGTTGTTCAGGAGCGGCTTGACAAGAGGAATACGACATTTGAAGCCCATGTCCAGGATCCGTCTGTGTGTGGTGGCTCTTGATGCACTGACTCCAGCCTCAGTCCACTCCTTGTGAAAGTCCCCAACACTTTTGAATGGCCTTTTCCTGACAATCCTGGAGAGGCTGCGGTCATCCCTGCTGCTTGTGCACCTTTTTCTTCCACACTTTTCCCTTCCACATAACTTTCTATTAATGTGCTTTGATACAGCACTTTGGGAACATCCAACTTCTTTTGCAATTACCATTTGAGGCTTATGGAGGGTGTCAGTGATGGTTTTCTGCACAACTGTCAGGTCAGCAGCCTTTTCCATGATTGTGATTCCTACTGAACCAGACTGAGACCATTTAAAGGCTCAGGAACCCTTTGCAGGTGTTATGGCTTAATTAGCTGATTAGAGTGGGACACTTTGAGCCTAGAATATTGCACCTTTTTACAATATTCTAATTTTCTGAGATTGTTTATTTAGGGTTTTCATGAGCTGTAAGCCATAATCATCACAATTATGACAAATCACAGCTTGAACTATCTTGCTTTGCATGTAATGAGTCTATCTCATATATTAGTTTCACCTTTTAAGTTGCATTACTGAAATAAATGAACTTTTGCACGATATTCTAATTTTTCGAGTTTCACGTGTGTGTGTGTGTGTGTGTGTGTGTGTGTGTGTGTGTGTGTGTGTGTGTGCGTGTGTAAAGCTCTGCGTAAATTGACGCCGCTATATAAGTACCTGAAATAAATAAAATAAATAAGTTAAAAATGCAAAAAAGCCATGTCCCTAAAATCTGCTCACAGTTACCGGTTGGTCTGCAAGCAACCCCATAAGTCAGCAACTATGTGAGCAAGAATAGAGAAGAACTAGAAAGAAAAAGTAGGGAAAGAGAAAGGGGTGAGGGAAGGGAAGGATGTAACTTAGCCTCGGAAGCCCAAGAGGAACAGTCAGACAAGGCCCAAACAGGTTGGTTGGATTGAGGAGAACTCATACGGTACTCCAGGCCTTGAGAAATTTGGCATGTGAATCATTCAGAATAGTGGACATTTGCTCATGAAGCATCATTGCAGTCATACGTATCTTCATCCCCTGGAAGGCTACGTGCTGGGTCTTC